ATACCGCACACCCTCTGTTCTTACGCAGGCTGATTCAAGTGGTCACGGACCCACACACTAACCACCCGCACACTGATGCTTGACTTCGGTGATCTGCTGGGAACCGTGTCTTAACGATCTGCGGGACGATATACACATACACACACACGCATGTATATATATATACACAAAATAAGAAGATTATGCGTGAAAGAAAAACAGGAAAAGGAAAAGAGGAATCGATCATTTCTCTATTCTGAGAAGTTTCGGATGATGTTTTGTATTTCTCGTCCATCAATTTCTTTCAATGTGCAGAAACTGAATGAATAGTTTAAACTTTGAAGTCAGACTCGAGAAAAACATCTATATTGTAGACTTTTCCCCATTCCTCATGCTTTAATACCAAAGTCAAAAACTCGAAGTAAATCCATGCTTTTATATAGATATTTCTTGAAATTTCTTTTATCCCATTGTATGTTGGAGCATTCGGATTTGACAAATTATAAGTTTAACCTAAGAAAGAGAACGTCAAAAATGGCATACGCTGATAGAAAACGTTTATTTTAAGCTTTCTTTTATTTATTTATCATTTGTTTACGCTTTGATGCACTTTAAGAAATCTATACTCAAAACTGACGAAATTTTCTTTGTTTCTGACGAAATCCTTCCCATATATATATACGCCAAGCTTTTCAACGACGGTTATAAAATAAAATAGCACATCTTACTTTTTTGGTCTAAAATTTTTATTAGTTACCAAAAATTTAAAAGCTTATGCAGGATTTAAAAAGTATACAAAAAATATAAATGTTTTTAACGATGCATTAAAAGGTGTTGAAAGAAAGTACGCGAGGGAAATTAGAACAAAAATTAATAATATTTATATTAAAAAAACAATAAAAAATTTTGATGTTTTCTTGAAAGATCATGTGCGACTTAAAGAAATAAATAATTAATTTCTAATTTTATTTCCTAACAAAAAAAAAGTACAACTTTTATTAGAAGTCACTTCTCTAAACTTTCCATTTTTTGGCCCTCCCTAAAATGTATGGGTCTTTAATACTTTTAATGCCTTGAGCTCTGGAAATAGAGCGTTAGTGTACAATAAGGTGATAACCATGTAACAATAAGGTGAAACTGATCAAGTTAGTTTAATAAACACAGATTAATGACTTAAAAACATTAATTTTATAATCATTAACAAGTTTAACAAAACTCAAGAAAACTTCTATTTGTCAAAAAAACTATTTTTAAATTCTGAAAAAGCTGTATATAAATAATGAAAGCTTAAGCTAAAACATAAAATAAGCTTTGAATGATGTTCCAAGAAAAATAGATTTGGCGAATATGCTGTTGTATTTCGAAAAAATGCTTTGTAAGCTTTGATTTATTGTTTTAAATGAGAGAAAGACTTGAAAAGAACTTACAATGGTTTGCCAACAATAACAGCATGTTTTTCAAGGAATTTAAACTTCAAGGTTATTTTTTGGATTGCAAACTAAACATAATTTATTCAAATTGTTGCCCATTTCTTCTGAAAATTTTTGCTTTCATAACAAACTAGTAACTCGCGCAGTAACAATGTTAAGTTTTACAATTTTTTAGGGAATTATATATATATATACACACTCATGGACAAAAAAATTAGCGCACCAAGAGGGAGTCGTCAAAATGAAACGAATAAACGATATAACGAAATATATATATGTATATATATATATCAGGGCTCGAAAAAACTCAGAAATTTTACTCGTCCCACAGGACGGCTTATCCAACAATGTACCCGTCCTCCTTTGAAACTAACCCGTAGTTTCTAAATAAATAAAAATATAATTTTCTCTTATTTATTACAAACATTTATATAAATTGCTCTATGAATTAGTAGTTAATAGGTTTACAAATACTAGAATTACAATATACAGTAATAAAAGAAATGCTAGGTAACTAATAGTAGCCTAGTACTTCTTTTATGAAATAATTTTAATGACAAAGGTCAATTTATCCGAGGGTACTGCTTTTTTTAAATGAATCAAATATGACGTTTGCCAGTTCCACAATCAAGCCAATGATTTACAGAGGTTTCGGCACAGAAATCTGTAAGAGGTTTTCCATTTAGGTAGATGTTCATAATTGCGTTTAACGCTTCTTGTTTAAGACCAGTACGTAATGTGTTTTTTTGTAAGTTCATTGGCCCCTTTCAACAGCTGCAGTATTCCCAGACAGAGAAAACATCAATTCCACCATGCGCAGTATTAACGGGATTTA